CGCATTCCCTGCTTGGGTCAACGTTATTAGAAGACATCCAAGAAAATTAGTTACGTGACGCTGATGAACCAACAACAATTTACTTTTGCAAATTCTCTTGAAAATCTTTAACTAAAACAAAATACAAATAATCACATAATAGTCCATGACTAATTGAATATTATAAACGTAATGTTATTACATTTTTAGTAAAAATTCATAAAAATTATCCAATTGTTAAAAATTCTAACATTAACTGCTAGATGAAAATGTCTTGAATAATGACTTTTATAGTCGTTTTTAAATAAATTAGGTTTATAAAAAGGTTTATCTTTTCAAATGTTATTTTTTTAAATTTATATATGGAAAACATTTTTAATACAGTATTTGAGTAAAAAATCATAAGTTTTAAACTTATTAAAGGAAAAAAATATATAAAGTTTACAAATTATTAAAAACAGAAATTGCATGGAAATGTCTTTAATTACGTAATAATTTGTTAATAGATAAAATCCAATCTTTTCAATCATTGATTTTGTTAATATTTTATTGTAGTAAGTGTTTTGAAAATAAAGTAGTCAAAAAATTATGTTTAAGAAGAAACCACGGAACGGACGTTTATTTCGTGTTCGTCGGACAGTGCGTAAATGACACCGAAAATAAAATATCTATATTTATGTTTTTGTGCAACATCTGTAAATAGAAGCATGCAAGTTTCGCTTATCAATTGCTGAAGAAATTAACTTCAATATTTACAAATTTTTGTACTATTATTGTATGCAAGATTATCACAATTCTATATTAAGAATGTGATGTAAACAACTATATTCTAAATACTTCATTTGTTCATTTTAGTTAATAATGGAAAAGTTTGTTTAATTTTCAATTTATTTTTTATTCATAACATAAGAAAATTAAATACACAATTTACATACATAAAATATATTCATTTTTTTTTAATTATTTATAATTTTTTATAATTTTTGTATCAAATTGTTTGAAGCTATAATTTGTTTTTTGTAAAAAAATAATCTTATAAATTTATGTTTTTCTTAGTATTTTAATGTCTACATAAGAATGTTTGTCTTATATTATGAAATTATTTATTTATTTAATACTGTTTATGTTTCAAATTATATAATAATTGATTCTTGACTTCTTCTTGTTAAAATTTTCAAAATATTTTATAATAATTTATTACATAATTAAACATTTAATTTTTCAATCCTGAAAATAATTTGAATTTTAGTAAGTATTGTATAATGAATGAAATATAATTTATATGACAGGATATACGCAAATCACTTCCCAGTCTATCAACATCATCATGATCATGATGATGTTGTATAATTGAAATCACCAATGTGATGCGTAAATTAGGGTCGTTAAACTCGACAAACGCTGTTGACATGTAACTCAGTCTACTCGAATTTAATTCTAATCTCCACATACGAAGCTATTAATAAATTACTTTAATGTGTGTCAATTGATCATTTTCATTGTAATAATCTAACAAATAATATTGAATTCAATTCAATTTTGTAACATTTCTTATTAAAAACTACTATAAACATTATTTTAAAGTGGATAAAAAGAAAAATTGAAATATATTTATTTTTTGTTGAATTTTATCATTAGAAATGTTAAATAATAGCTTTATACTTTATAATTTATTTTTTTGATAACATTATGACATTAATTTAGCAACTACTTTCTTGCTGAAATTTACTCCTAATTACTCTAGCATAAATTAATGTTAAATACATACATTAATTGAGAGAAATTCAATTTTGCATATTAAAAAGTAATATAAAAATTATCTCAAACTGGAGAGAAACATGAGGAATAAAAAAATGATGAAATATGAATTTAAACCCTTTATACTTTTGATTTTTGTTGCATTTTGAAATAACACAGACCTTGACAATGGTGACAAAAATGATATAAAGTTGTACAGTTTTGATTTTTGTTAAATATTATGAGAACATTAAGCCATTCATTTAGCGACTACTTTTTTTGCTAAAATCTACTCCTAATTACTCAAGCATACAATAATATTAAATAAATAAATATATTAATTTTGATAGATTCAATGTTGCATGGAGAGAAACAATGATGAAATATGAATTGAAACACTTTATACTTTTGATTTTTGTTGAATTTTGTCATAAAATTGTAATAAAATAGAAATTACATAGACCTTGACAATGGCGATAAAAATGATATAAAGTTGTACAGTTTCGATTTTTGTTTAATTTTCTTATAACATTAGGACAATTATTTAGGGACTATTTTTTGCTGAAATCTACTCCTAATTACTGTAGCATACATTAATATTAAATAAATACATTAATTTTGATAGATTCAATGTTGCATGAAGAGAAACATGAAGGAAAAAAAATGATGAAATATGATTTGAAACACTTTATACTTTTGATTTTTTGTTAAATTTTGTGATAACATTAAGACATTCATTTAGCAACTACTTTTATTGCTGAAACCTACTTCTAATTACTCTAACATACATTAATATTAAATAAATAGATTAATTGTGATAGATTTAATGTTGCATGAAGAGAAACATGAGGAACAAAAAGAAAATGATGAAATATGAATTGAAACAGTTTATACTTTTGATTTTTGTTGCATTTTGTCATAAAATTGTATTAAAATCGAAATTACATAGACCTTGGCAATGGTGATAAAAATGATATAAAGTTGTACAGTATTGATTATTGTTAAATTTTGTGATAACATTAAAACATTGATTTAGCAACTACTTGTTTTCTGAACTCTCTCCTAATTACTCTAGCATACATTAATATTAAATAAATACATTAATTTTAATAGATTCAATGTTGCATTAAGAAAAACATGAGGAACAATGATGAAATATGAATTAAAACACTTTATACTTTTGATTTTTGTTGCATTTTGCCATAAAATTGTAATAAAATCGAAATTACATAGACCTTGACAATGGTGATAAAAATGATTTTTTTGTTAAATTTTGTGATAACATTAGGAAATTTATTTAGCGACTACTTTTTTTGCTCAAATCTATTGGTAATTGCACAAATAAATTATACATTAATTCTGGTGGATTTTTGCAACTTTTCATATTGAAAACTATAAACATTATTTTAAAATGAAAAAAAAAAAACAATTGTAATGATGAAAACATGAAAATACGTTATATGTACTAATAAATTTTTAAGAAAATTGAAATTCTCATTTTTATGCTGAAACCTATTAATAATTAGTTAAAAAATTGGAAAAAACATTAAGAAAAACTGGTGATAATATTCATTGATTCAGTTTTTTTATAACATTAACGTAAAATTTGTATATATAGGCGTATATGAGGCGATTATGAAAGTTAACTGGTCTTAAAGAGATGACGGAATTCCAGACTGTATGAAGGCCTATTAAGTGCCTACGACAATAATCCTATTAACAATAATAAAGGCTATTCTTTATTTAGATCTGTTTTCATACTTCTCAGAAAGAAATAATAGAAATAATAGCTGAAAGTCAACAATAATTAACAATTATTAACTAAATTGTAAATACTTTTTCAATATAATAGTTTAAATTATTTCATTGTTTCATTTGTATTATAACTTAACCAAAAACAATAATAATGAAAATTGTAATTGTTTTTTTTTTCTCATTTTTTTTTGTTGAAGCTGTATTTCTCTTTCTATATTAATTTAAATGCAAGAAATATTGAATTTTATTATACAGTTATATTTGTTGTTCAACACTGATTATACTTCAAATTATCTCATAATTACTTCTTGATTTTAATCGAAAATTTACTAATTTTGTTTAATATCATACATTTAACTATTGATATACTTTAATAAAAGCATTCAAAACTTAGTTCTCATCTGCCTCAATTATTGCATTTCATTCTTAATTTTTTTGAATTTATAATAATAATAATAATCAAAGTTTTTAAAATTTGTCAAATTTTATGCAAAATTTGATATATTCTGTGTTAAATCCAATTACAATATATATAATTTTATATTAATTACATAATTACAAATTAATATTGATTAGAATATATTTTTATTGAAAAAACAAATTACAATTTTTAATAACTTAAATATTTAATTTGTTTCTTAAGTTAGTTAAGATTGTTTCAATAATTAAAATAATTAACTTTTTGAAGACAAACACAGATTGTTTCTATTTGATAAGTAATTTAATTGTGTTATAATTATTTGAATCAAAACTCTAGTGAAAATAAAAATTCTGCAGTTGGAATTAGTTTTCTACATTTCGGTTAGTTAAAACACAGGGTTTCTTTGTTAAGTTGGTCAAGATTTTTAACATTTTTTCAATAATTGAATTTCTTAAAATTGCATTTTTTTAATGGTTTTCTTTAGTTAATTCTAAATAAAGAATTAACTTCGTTGTTTTTTATTCAAACAACACAAATTTATTATTTTTTCAATATATTTTTCCTATTGGAACTAATTTTGTTAAGTTTTAATTATTTCAATAATTGGATTATATTCTAATTAAAACTTAATTCAACATAAAAATGCTGCAGATGGAATAAGTTTCTTACATTTCAATTAGTTATATCACAAAGTTTCTTTGGTGTGGAATTAGCTTGTAATCACTTTAATTAGATTCTTAAGTTGGTTAAGATTTCTATCAGTTTCTCAATATTTAACTTGCATTTTTTTTTAATTAATTTTAAACAAAGAATTAACTTCATGGTTTTCTTAATACAAATACTGATTTACTATTATTTCAATATAATTTTTGCTATTGGAACTAATTTTGTTAAATTTTAATTATTATTCAACAATTAGATTATATTTTAATTAAAACTATAGTGAACATAAAAATGCAGCGGTTGAAATTAGTTTCCTACATTTCGGTTCGTTAGAACAAAGATTTTTTTTTGGTGGGGAATTAGCTTGTAATCACAAGGAAAACGCGAGAGATCCGCCTGCGCCTTTTTGTCTCCCATTTGATATTTTACATAATTGGAGCAACAGAGACGACCGCACACGCACACCGCAGTTCCGAGCGAAACAGTGACAACGTACAATTAGTTGCTCTTGGCTCTGGCTCTCCGTACGAGTTCTATATTCGTTAACAACCCGACCATCAGTCAGCCTCTGGATTCAAGTTACTTAAGTGCTATTTGTGCCGTTTCCCATTACATCCTCCACATCAAATAACCGATTGAATAAGAAAGATCTCCAACTACAAACTAGGGGGTAAGTCGCCAAAATCAAACACACGCAACAATAAAAGTTTTAACTGTAACAACAACAAAAAAATATGATTACATAATTGATTACAAACTAAATGCAAGTTTAAAAAAAAACGAAACTGTAACTATGATCCAAACTATATAGAATTGCATTGTTCACATTTACAAACAAAACATTGAAATGTAAACACTCGTTAATAAATTCTTTTCGATTTTCCATTGATTTGATAAAAAAAGCTTTTATAATTGCAACGGAATTTGTCGCTTGATTTATTTATGTTGGTGCACCGTGGGATATCATCTCTTTTACGAACTGATGCTATGTACTTTAATTCGACAATTGCTTCCGTTGGGGGCGAGCCTCTGAATTGGACGGTCTCCAGTTTAATTTTAATTGCCACTTAAATCGTTTAATAACGAATACGCTTATTGAAACGCATCTGAGGTTTATTTGTGCGAGACGTAACGCTGCACTTTCCATTCAGTTCTGCATTTAATCTTGAAACGATAACTCAATATCAGCAAGTTGGCTTCAAAATGCGCACATAATTATGATGTAACCCTGTGTAATATAATTAATTGTTTGATTAACTTAAAGACATTCATGAAATTGTTTATTTATTATCATTAATTTAGATTAATATTGGAACAGACATAACAAGTATGAAATTAAAACATTATATTTCAGCTATTGTCGTTTCTTCATACCTTAATTTGTGTATTTATTGATCAGTTATTATTGTTATTTGTTAGCAACATATTCAGGTTTAACTAAAATATACTCAACAATTATTATTTACTTAATTATCAGCCATCAGTAATTAATTTAATTAAAACTTAGTATAAATCTACATAAGAACAATATTATCCATAAGTTTCACATATAAATTAAATGGAATAGTTGTTCCAACTGATTCTTTTTTTTTCTTTTAGTCGGAAATTGAAAGTGATGTTTCTCATAAAGATGTTTGTAACTAAAATCGAAGGAATCTCTTTGATTTTGGATAACAATTCGTTAGATATAATTGAACGATTCTGTCAATTGAAATAATGTACCAGCAAGAGTTTTATTGATTTAAGTATTGAAATTTCGTTTTCAAAACATGAAATTAATATTATAGTCATGATAATTAATATCTACAAAATTGGCTGTAGAATCTTTAAGTGCACTTGATTGTACATTATTATAGGAAACACTTGTGTGATTAGTGAAAACTTGGAATGAAATAAATAATGAATGTTTCTTTGTCATTTTTTTAATTTTATTAATTTTGTATTCTTACCTACTCTATAAAATAAACAAGATGTTCCGTGAAAATTTCAGGATTTACAAAGTGTTATGTTGCAGAAAAAGTTTGGGAAACCGTGCATTACTTAATGTTAAATATAAATTTATGATTGTCTGTGAAAAATACTGCTCTAATCAGAATTAATTTTACGAATTCAAGATCGACGACCAAATTGCAAAAAAAAAATCCAAAATTTAATTAATTTTGCTTTCTTTATTAAGTAAAAATTAATATGTTTATTGTTTATGTATTGAACTTCTTGTAATTTCATACCTAGTACAAACACAAACTACATTTAGTTTTTATATCAATTTTAAAAAAAGGTCTTTTGTCCATAATGCAATTAATTTTATTAACTTTTTTGTGTAGTTTTTAAAAGTAAAATATTTGCATTTCATCTTTTCAATGATTTCATAAGTTAATTGTTAAAAAATCAAACTTGAATTATTGGATATTTTCTATACATTTTTCTTTTTTTCTCATTTCATTGCTTCTATTTCTTTTAGTATCATTCAGTACTAATTTGAAGTCCCAAAGAAGAGTAGAATTTGGCTCTAATTGTCGTAAAACTAAAACGACACATGACACCAGGATTTGCATAAAAAATAAAGTAATTCCATAATTTCTAACGTATTTGATACTTGTATAAAGGATTTACTTGTTTACAAACATGTTTTTAATATAAAGTCAGAACTTTCACATGAACCACTGACCACAGTTTGGTTAAAAAATATAGTTTAGACGTTTGGAACACATCATTAAATGTCAAGGGCTTAAATTTAATATAATTGGAAAAATTAGATTTGATGAAGACCAAAGACTAACAACATTCGATCTAATCTAAGCCGACGCAAAACAAATCGGCGTAAAATGAACCCATATTTACTATAACTATAGGGTTTAGTTCCATATAAGTGTAAAATCAGCGTTATTTCACAGCGGCGTTATTGTGAATCGGCGTAAATCGAACCTGTATATTTATAATTCATTTGAAATGTAGAATTTCAAAACTGAGTTGATCTAAAAATATAATTTTTACTGTGGTTAATGGAAAAAAATGTTACTCGCGAGATTCATTCACGTTACGAAACGTACAACGACTAAAAAAAATGTAACGAAATTGACGTAACACAAACGGCTAAATCTAATTATGTGTACTACATAGTAAATTGTTCGCAGACCCACCGACCGACCGGGCAAACGTCATTCATGATGATGATAAATCGTTTCTAAATTCACTGAACTTATTTATACATATTTATTACTACAATATTTGTGTCATTCACGCGGTTGCAACTATCTTCGTCAGCTTCTATTTTCTTAATTCGATCGAATAGAAAATCAATAAACTCGATGGATATCTAATTGGGACGTCGATCGGTCGGTCGGTTCACGAGGAGTGGAAATAAGCTAAGTGCGTAATAAAGTGTTGATTAATTGGCCATTAATTTAGGTAAATTTAACTCTGCCGCATCAATCATCATGATCATCCGTATGCACATTGCGCTTGATTGATGATGCACTTTGCAAATGTGACTTCAATCTTGCTCATGTTCGTGTTCCCAATTTACTTTAAATACATTTCTCTGTATACAAAATGAATAACAATGATTATATCAATTCAAACAACACATGCATATTTTTTTCTTATTAAATGTATTACGTAAATATACTTAATTGGAAACAATCAATCGAATTGTACAAAGTTATAGAATACAAATGTAATAACAACTATCATTATTTTTGATTAATAAGAGAAATATGACTGTGACTAAAAAAATCATCATTTTATATATACAAAGAATGAACATATATGTTCCATTTTGTCCGATGACCTTCTACCATCTTTCCGGCAACTTCATGATTCCGCAAGAACTTCTTGTTGTTATCGGCAAAAAACTGAACCAAACGCGATTTCAGGTCATTATAATCAATGAAAATTTTATATTTTGAAAGGTTTTGCAAACTTTGAAATAAATGGTAATTTGATGGTTCAAGGTCAGAGCTATAATATTACTCTCAAGTTCCAATAATTTTCTACGAGTTACCAAGTATGTGTGAGGATTTGCATTGTTTTGGTGAAACACGATGCTAATTCTGGACAAGTTTATTTGATTGTTTGCTCCAGTTTCATTAATTGTTGATTGTAAATACCTATCGTTTGGATACTGCTCAAAATACACAACACCTCTGTAATCCCACTAAATTGATAGCATGATACTTTTTGATGGAATTCATCTTTAGATGTGGGTTTATGGAGGTACATCACGTTTGGATCATGAAGGTTTTTTCATTACCAGTGATGATTTGTTTAAAAAAAGTGACGGTTCCATTGCATTCCTTCGAATATCGAGATTCTTAACGAGTTCAAGATATTTAAGTGAATTTTAGTTGTTGTGTGTAATACATTTAACCATTCTGTAATCTCATGCACATATGACGATGCAATTCAATTATGACTTAGATTTAGTCATCATAAGTCATAGATTTTTGCATTCTGTCAAACTATCAATATCATACACTTCATATATCTCTTTGTGAATCTCAGCAGCTGTTTTTCCTTAACGGAAATAAAAAGAGAAATATAATGAAAACGTTCGATTTTACACTCCTATTAAAATTAACTATAAACTAACAGCTGTAAACAAAATTATGCACAATTAACTTCTAAAAGTGACATCTTTCAAATGTCAAAACAAAAAAATCATATCATTGAAAACTGAAATTAATTTCTTGCCAACCAAATAATAACAACTATAATTATTTTTGAGTAATTAGAGAAATATGAGTAAAAAAAAAATAATTATTAATGTTTTTTTAATTCTATTGATGACGTCTGCAATTTCCATTCAATTCATGTATTTTGTGTTTACTTTATACATTTTTTTTTTCTTAAAATTGAAGTGAACAGAATGAGATTTTTTTTTTATTAACTATGTGCATAACAATAGCAAATTTCTAAAACAAGCATTGTTTCTTACGTAAATGTGAGCATTTTTTACCAATTAAATGGAAAAAAATGTAATGAACACAAACGCAAATAGCAATAATCTACAAACTCATTTTTTTATGACTTTTTTAGTATTTCATAGGACAATTAAAATTACAAAAACATCGATTTTATAAATTATTAATTATGTAAATGTAATTAGAATCCACTTTTTTTCTGTATTTTATTTTTGTTTGTATCATTTTATAAATCTATTCTATATTCTAAATAATAATATTGATATTTTATTCTACTTCCTTCCATTTTATTGATCGTGTTGGATATCCGAATCAAATAAAAAAAATGTAAATATCTTGTTCCATTTCCACCGATAAATATAGCTTTTAATGTAACTCTATAATTAGTGTAGAGTTTCATAACAATGTGTTACGTTTTTGTGTGTGTGTGTGTGATATAATACGATAACATGTAATGCGCTTACATTGTATATAAATATTTTGATGTAACGTTAGTCACGTTTCTCGAAATTAAATAATTTAGTTCGTAGGTGTCGGTCAGGTGTCAGACGAAACGACTTTGTTGCATGCACAATTGGCTATCCTGGCTAACGACCAACATACCTCTGCCAACGTTGCAAAAAATTATAAACTTATATTTATATCATGCTGCATCCACAATATGCGTGATTTAGGACATAAATCTCATCGTTAGAAATACAAACTAATGTGTAACTATGAAGAATGAGGAATGTATTTTAATTTTTAAAAAAATCCCTAAAGAATCTGATAATAGTGATATTAATTAACTTAAGTTGTTACACGTGACAGCAATGAGTAAAATTGCATAACCAATCAATAATACCAACTACTTTTAAAAATATAAATTTATGTCGGTTCCATGACAAAGGGGAACAGCGATAAAACAAAAAACGAAAAGAAAAGTGACTAAATAGAACATCGGAAAAAAATATTAAAGTTCAAGCAAAATAGAAATTAACAAATGACAAAGATTGAATATAACATGATGATGAGTTATCTAAATAATTTTAATATGTTTTTTCGATGTTCTCTGTTATCACTGTCCTTTTTTGTCGTCTTCTTTTTTTTATCAATGTTCTGATTTGTCCGGTCACCATTTGTGTCTAGTATTTTATACAATGTAGATCAGTATTTCTCAACCTTTTTGTGCCATCCTCTAAGCATTTCTAAAATTCTTATACCGCCTTTGTAACATATTCATATTTAGCTATATTCAATTAACATGAGTCAAATAATATTTACAATTTATCGTTCTAGTTTGAATTACTACAATATTTAATCATTAATAAAGGTAACCCTTTAAGCGGAATTATGCATTATATGTAGTGGCTCATTTATGATGCGAATATATTCGTCATAAGCTCAACCCAATACAAGAGACCGTGACGAATATATACGACATAACAATATACAATACAACTGAACGGATTAAGCAAGATTTATAAATTTATAAATCGTTTCTCAACATATGGGTCGCTGCGAAATGACAGTTGTTACCTTGCGTCAATAATTTGGTCGCAATACAAATTCAAACAAATATGTAACTACTTGTTACTATTCTTATATGAAGTAATAAGAAGATCTGCTAATAATAATAATCGCTGTTAATGATAAAAAGTTGTTGAAAATGTTTATATTTTGTGTCTAATTCACGAATGTGTTTATTGTATAATGATGTTCTGTGTGCATTGTGAGATAACAATGGGTTTTGTTTGTAGGAGGAAGCATTGGTTTTCGGCCAAATCGTTTTAAATAAAACATGTCGCGAGCGTTCGCTTATGTAACGAAAATACACCCGCGTGTTCGACGTTGCATAAACGGAACGCGTAAATCACGGTTACATCTCAGGTGTTTCGGTTAATAAATAGAAACGTTACCGAACAAGTCCAAAATTGCTTTAAACAAAAATAACTTTTTGCAATTTTTCATGTTGAAACTACAGAAAATATAAATACAATTCTCAATATATCAAATAATAAAGTAAAAATGTACTATTAATTCTATATTTTAAACTAATCGAAATAGATTTTATAAAAAAACATTTATTTCAAATAAATTTTCTAATTATAATCATTACTTTGTTTATTTTTGTTATAAACAGCTACATTCATAATCAGGACTTTTAAGAATTAAACATCTACTATTAATAAATAAAATTCATCAACAATTGTAAATTCAATACATACAAATAATTGTGTCAAAAATAGTTATGAGTTTCTGTTTAAATTATAAATTTTTATCCTAAAATATTCAAATTTTAAGACGTAAATTGGACGTATTGAACTAATATAAAAGATAATAAAAACTTGTATTAAATTATATTAAATAAGTACATAAATATAAAGCTGTACATAAAAATAAACTGGCTGAAACAGATTAATGAAGTCCTTGAACTAAGTGAGACCTTATTGAAGGTTTTACAAGAAATCGATACGAAAGAAGACTAAGCAAAATCTGAACGATATAGTTCATAGATATAGAATATAGATTTTTTTTTAGAAAAGAAAATTTGCTTGTAAGAAAATAAGAATTTTCATTATGTTCACATTATCAACATAAATTATGCTTAGAATTGTTATATTTTTCTAAAATTTTTAATAAAAAAAACAGTTTTAAACACAATATTATGGAGCGTCTTACAGTTTTAAAAAAAATATGGTATATTTCATTAAAGTAATCAGTTTCAAGGATAATATGATATTAGTAAAATTGATATTTTACATAAAAAAAAATTTTCTTAATATCTTATACTAAAACAAAAGTGCGTCTTATAATATAATGTACCTATGTTTTAAAATTAACAAAAAAATACCTGTATATGACAACTATGGGTATTTGGCTCTTCGTTGAGTCAAGTGCGGCTCCTTTAACATTTTATTGTTATTATATTTGAATTTTATTACTAATATTTTCAAATAATTTTGTTATTTTTCATAATTATATTATTTTATGTGTTTTTATGTTCTAATATGTGTATTTCATCAAAAAATATGTATACATTAAATAAAAACAATTTAATTTGTATCTACATGTGACTCTTTATAAAATATAAAAAAAACAGATTGTGGCTCTCTTTAGCCACATAATATTTGAAAAATTAACAATTTATATCATAATACATTTTTTTCTAAAATTTGTCTCTTAATTTTCTTCATAAAACAGGAATATTTCATCAAACAAACAAATTATCAATAAAACTATTTTAAACTGTTTTTTTTTTGTTGAATTGTTATTGAAGTATGGAATTATTTAATAAATTAACTAATCTGGTTTTTCTTGTTTACATTAATAGGTAACCAATGCGGCGGAGATGAGCATTCTTTGTACGTGAATTTTTGGCAGCGCGTTAGAAAACTTATGTGATACAACGAAAAAAAATAAAAGGTGCAGAACTGTATGCGACTGGTGCCCATACACACGTCCACGCAATCATTACTCAGGAACACAATAAGGTAGTGCAAGGGAACGAGTGGGATCCAAAATGGCAAATGAATCGATGAAATTGAAACCGGTCGGTTCTAACAAGTAAGGACAAAAAATGCATACATTTCCAATTTGAAATTACTACTGTGTTTGTTGTTGTTGCTTTATAGGTATAATGTTGAGAGCGGCAGCGGCGGCGGAAGCAGTCCTCAGGGGGATTCCGATGATTACGATCCTCATTTACACAGGAACATAGATGCTCCCACAAGGTAAAACCATATATACTTCTCTTGTGCAAACAATCCATTAATGGCTGTTCAATTACATTATCGAGTATTTTTTCCTTCATTTTAATCAATAGAAAACGTTGTTTAAATGCAAGGATAAAATGATGACTTACTTTTAATTAGAGAAAAATAACGAGTTTAATACGTTCCAAAATTTCCAGATTTTTACTCGTATAGTGAAACATATTCAAAAATACACATAATATGTGTACACAAGTTTTAACAATGATGTAGAAGGCGCGCAATCCGAAACTTCTCTTCTCATCTCAACCAACTTGTTATAAGAAACGTCGCTCGTTAAGCGAGTCATTTTTTCTTACAATTCATTTTGTTCGTTAAGCGAGGTTCCACTGTATTTAATAAACCTACATTAGCATGCAAACGAATATAGATCAGAAAGATTTCTGAAACAAACATTTTTTCGTCAAATTTCAATAACAAATAATAAATCTTTATATTAAAATTCAATCAAACATTTCTTCAAATTTGAAAAAAGTAAACCTGATATTTATTATATTAATCCGTATTTCCATTTCAATATAAATCGAAAAAGTTTCAGAATGAAATAGAAAAAAAACATTTTTTATTAATCTAAAATTAAAATTAATTTTTTAACATAGTTTTGTTTAATTGAAACTTTAATATTTTTCATTGCCTCAAGATAATATATAAAAATCTCTAAAGATTTGAAAATAGAAAAAAAATATTTTAATTTGTGTACATTTCACTCATTATATAGAATAAGTTTAAGAATGAAACAGATTGTTTTCATTCACAATTTCCATATTTACTTTTCAACGTATTCTTTCATTCCTATACATAATACAAATTAAACTCATCAAATTCCAATCCAAGGATTCAAAAAACCTTTAAAAAATGAATAAAATTTGCTAAATTTTACAAAATTGAATATTATTGTGTACAAATTTCAGGAATAAACAGGATATTTATTATCTATAAACACATTATGTATATAGTTTGTAGCTCTGATTAATTTCTATTCAACAATTTCTTCAGAATTATATAAGATTGTTTTCATCTACAATTTTCATATTTACTTTTCAACATATTATTTCATTCCTATACATTATACATATTAAACTCATCAAATTCCAATCCAGCGTTTCAAAAACCTTTAAAAAATGAACAAAATTTGTTAAATTTTACAAAATTCTATATTAATGTGTACAAATTTCAGGAATAAGCAGGATTTTCATTATCAATAATCATATTTTATTAATTACATTAAAATCGAAATATTAAGATCCTCCATTCTTTGAAATAGATTATAGTAAACTATAAATATATAGTTTGTAGCTATGATTAACTTCTATTCAACAATTTCTTCAGAATTAAATAAGTTTAAGAATGAAACAGATTGTTTTCATATTTAATTTTCAACGTATTCTTTCATTTCTATACATAATACATATTAAACTTTAAATCTATAAATACGTAAATTTTCCCAAATTCCAATCCAACGATTTGAAAACATTTAAAAAAAAAGAACTAGATTTACTAAATTTTACAAAATTGTATATTGATATGTACAAATTTCAAAAACAAATAGGTTTTCTGTTATCGATATTTCAAGATCCTTCAAACTCTTGAAAATAGAAAACCTGCTATTTATTATATTAATGCGTATTTCCATCCAGTATAAATCGAAAATGTTTCAAAATGAAATAGAAAACAAACGTTTCTTTAAACTTTAGCATTGCCTCAAGATAATATATAGAAATCTCTAAATATATAGATTTGCAGCTTCAGATTTTTAGAAATAAATAAAATAAAATTGAAGTAACAGATTTTTTAATTCAAATATAATAATTTTTTAATATTTTCTTTAATTTCATAGGATTGATCAAATTCCAATTCAACAATTTCTTCGGATTGAAAAAAAAAACAAAATTTACTAAATTTGTACAAATTTAAAAAAAAAACAGGAAACATTTTTTTATTCTATAGACATAGTTTATTAAATACATTAAGATCTTCCATTCCTATCGAATCTGAATATATAGTTTATAGCTATAATTCATTTTTATTCAATAATTTCTTCAGATACCAAAACTTAAGAAAAAAACAAACAAAATTGAGTAACTCAGTTTATTACATGATAACCATTCGAAAGAGTGTCAGAACGTAACAGAAAACTGTTTTACATTAGAATATATCTTTCATATTCATTAGAGTATCAAATTTATTATTATAAAGGTTTTAAAACTTTACAAAAAAATTACTTTGTAATCTGTGGTTAACTATCATATTTTATTTTGTACACGATTTGTTTGAAAATATTACTCGAGTTGTTTAATGTCAAATTTGATTGATTTCATATTTTTGAATAAGTTTAAATAAATTATTAAAAATTCAAATTGACGTAAAGCAAACCTTTTTTTGTTTTCATTAATTTAACCTAACCAAATTAAACGCATTTCAAGTTAGGTTAGATTAGTATTGACTTTGACGTGTGAACTGACAGTTAAATGACATAAAACAGTAATCATGGCATCATATTTGTTGACATTTCTAATGTCAGTTCGAAATGTAGTTAATTTTGTTTTTTTTTAGTAAAAATATATGATAATATATTTTCCACGGTGAAATATCGACGTGAGTCATGTTCATGTGAACGCCATAATTTAAAAACGTTACATTACATTTTTTGGCAAACGTAAGAGCATAACGGATTTGAATCGATAGTCGACATGCAAAATTTATATTGTAAAGTTTCCAATCGGAAAGTTACGAAACGCGAAAACATCTGGATCGGAATTTGCTCGAGCCAAAATACATTACTAATCATACAACGCACACAACATAACATGTTTAAGGAAGTAAATGCAATAAACGCGTACAGAAATAGTTTCAAGATCGAGATGTCTAAATTTTGGAAATACTCGCGTTATTTGGCAAACGTTTCGTTCGTCAAGGATGACGAAACAAGGTGGAATGCACCCATTTATAACTGGATGGTCGTTGCTAATTGAAGCGCTTTGTTGTTAATTAATGGGGATTGTCTTGTGTGTGTTAATATTAGCGATTCTCGAGTACGACGTCGACAAATTTTTGGACGACTTCCAAGAATCAACAAGTTTATTATGTGCAAAGTAATGCTGTGACCTTATTGTTATGCAAATCCTCTTGAGAAACATTCAAGGATACGTTTTCAACAAGCTTACATGCACTTGTACCAATTCTATTATATTTTTTACTGTATTCTCGGACCATAAGACCCACTTTTTCAGTAGATTAACATTAAATTTGGAAAATGCGAGAATTATTAAAATCTAATAAAGTAATCAATAATTTTTAGATACATCAAACTTTTAAATTTATATTGTGTTTTCTGGTATGTTTTCACTAAGAATCATTGTCGATATCTAAATATATAAGAATTATTAAAAATAAATAAATTGCGTACATATTCTGAAAGACGACATTTCAATCAGTTTAGTACACTCTTGAAGATGGAAGAAAATAAAGTGCATTTAAGACTTTGATACTCTACTATTACTGGTTAGCCAAAATGCCATTAAAGCAATTATTAAGAAAGATTCTGCTTACGGAGAAATTGCTTTATCTAAAAAAGAACTGTGTTAAAGTAATTCACTAAGATAAGAGCTGGTAATTTCAGCATCTGCTAGTAATTATGATGAAATCAAGACATAGATCGAGATACACACTGCACGATACGTGAATTAGTAGATATATTGAAAAACAATCAAAATCAACCTTCAACGATCATCAATTTCACACAATTTAACTGACAAAAATCAAGAATCACTTATGTTTCTTTTACTCCAGATAATGCACTTTCCTATTTCCATTTATTCCTTTTTTTTATTAAACTTTAATTTATTTTTAGTCTATATAATAACACCCACATGGAAAAGTTATTTTTGACGAAAATATTTATAAATTCTGGAAAGAAGGAAAGTTTAAGTTGCGTGAAAGATGAAGGAAGGTGTATAGATCAAAATGTTGTATACAAAATTTATATTTCGATGTATAAAAAAGTTGATTTTGAATTTTCCTGAAAAACCAGCACAAACTTTTTCACTTATAATAGGTTGTCCCCATTAAAAGCTAATATATGGTATGAAAAAAATCTTTTTTTAGTATTATGAAACAACATTTCTAATTCATTTTAACAAATCTATTATTAATTTATTTAAATAAATTAATAATAGATTTGTTTTTTTATATAAATTGAAAAAAAAAAACTAATTAAACATAATTTACAACTAGACAATTATTTATTGAATCTAAATTCTTATTTACAATTATTTGGATTAATTGAATGCAAATTATAGTTTCAAATATTTTTAATGTTAGCTGGAAATGTAATTAATTTTATGATTGTTTTAAAATGTATAAAAATTAACATTTTTGTATTTTTTTTTATTTTATTATTGTTGTATATTTAAATTTTTACATTTGCATCATAACCCGGCACATCCACAAATTTTCTTTACTAATTTTTATTTACAAATATTTGTTGAAATTTGTCGTATTTCATAAACAAATAAAAAACAATAATAGAAATTAACAAAAAATACTATTTCTTTATTATAGTAAAATAATTATCTCTGCAAATCTACCGTTTAATAAATAATTTTACAAGACAAATAATAAAAAAAATTACAGAAAAATGTGTTTTTGTATATCAATAAATAGATATTAAGTTTTTAAATTAAATGAATACGTTTATATTATCCATGTTTTTCAATTATCCGTGCTTTAACGTTCCCGAATTACCACGGATAACTGATGTTTTACTGTACTAATATAAATATATTATATTTTTTGTAATAACTGTATTGTTGTTGTGTGTTTTCAGCAATGTAGAAACTTTGATCCACATGCTGAAGGGAAGCTTGGGTACCGGCATTTTGGCCATGCCCGAAGCCTTCAAGAATTCAGGTTTACTGAACGGCCTCGTATGCACCGTGCTCATCGGCATCCTCTGTACATATTGCCTTCACATTTTAGTGAGTTTTCATTCATTTGATTTACAAATTTCAATTAAAAATTGATTGAAATTGATAAATTATCTGTTTCAGGTCAAAGCTCAATACGTTATGTGCAAACGACTGAAAGTGCCCATGCTGACATATCCTGAATCGATGAAGATAGCTTTAGAGTCGGGCCCGCAGTGCCTTCGCAGATTTGCTAACATGTCACCGTGAGTATACACTCATCAATTCATCAATTAAATCTTCATTCATAAAATCTTTGCAGGATTTTGGTGGATTTCTTTTTAATTATATATCAGCTCGGTATCTGTTGTGTTTACGTGGTTTTCGTGGCTGTGAACATTAAGGCCGTTGTCGACCAATACACAACGAACCCCATCGCGCTGGAACTTTACATCCTGATGCTCCTAATCCCATTCATCCTCATCAACTCGATCAGAAACCTGAAACTCTTGGCTCCGTTCTCGACTTTAGCGAACGTCCTCACCTTTGCCTCCTTCGGCATCGTCCTCTACTACATTTTCCAAGACCTACCTGACATCAAGGAGAGACCCAACTTTGGTACGCTTTACACTTTCCCCCTGTTCTTCGGCACAACGCTCTTCGCTTTAGAAGCCGTAGGCGTCGTAAGTTAATCAACTTATTTTATGTAATTAAATTCACTTATTCAAACGTTTTCTTCAAGGTGATCGCTTTAGAGAACAACATGAAAACGCCTAAATCCTTCGGAGGTTACTTCGGAGTTTTGAACATCGCCATGGTGATCATCGTCATCCTCTACGTCGGAATGGGTTTCTTGGGTTACTGGAGGTACGGCGATAGGAGCGAGGCCAGCATCACCTTGAACTTCCCACCAGAAGATGTGTAAGTTCTCTACGAAACTTAACAAAATTAAATGTTATTATCACATGATTCACTGTTCACAGATTGGCTAAGGTTGTTAACATCCTCTACTCACTCGCCATATTCATCTCGTACGGTCTGCAAGGCTACGTTCCCGTCAAGATCATGTGGGACACCTACATCTTCAAGCACTTGCAAGATAGCAACCATCAGCTGGCCTGGGAATACGTCCTCAGAGTTCTCGCCGTCATCATTACTTGTAAGTCTTAACACGTATATAACGAAAAAACAACTTGATTTTATATGTTTTTTTTTTCAGTCGTCCTGGCTGTGACTATTCCTCTATTGGGTCTGTTCATTTCGCTGTTCGGAGCCTTCTGCCTGTCCGCACTTGGCCTCGCCTTTCCCGCAATCATGGAGATCTGCGTCTCCTGGCCCGACAATTTGGGACCTTTCAAATACGTCCTCATCAAAGACGTGCTGCTCATCATCTTCGGAGTTGTAGGATTGTTGGCAGGAAGCTACAGTTGCATATCGGAGATCGTGGCGGCCCTCAGCAAGGGTTAATTAGCTTCGCTTCTAGTAGACCAGAAGAAACCAATCAGTTTATTTTATTTATTAGCTGACAGTTATATATTACAATATTATTTATTATGTACTAGAGAGAATACGTTATTCACGCACAACATGTATGGAATAAAGACAAGACAGAATTTTATTATTATATTAATTTTAACTATTATTATTATTAATAATACTATAGTGTTTAAGTTACTTAAGCACTCTGGTAGATACTGTAGATACTGTATATTGAGGAAATTGTTATTTCTTTCATATTCTATAAGCGTACCTTTTGTTTTTCTTTCTTTTCTTAATCGTTTGTAGAAATGTTATGGCTTCAATAAATATTTACTTAACCTGTTCGTTCATCCATTCGAGAGGACTAGAAAACGCATTGATCATAGATCATTGTTAATATTTAATTGATAAAAAGTTACATTCTAAAACGTTAACTATATGCTTTCAACGTAAGGGGAAAAAAACATAATTTTCTTAGTGTTTCTTTAAAAAAAAATACCAAACTTGTTGTTAAAAATTGTTGTATGAAGAAGTTTGTCAATTCTCAATATAAAAGCAATAAAATGAGTATATTGGTATGTTTGCGTTTTGAAATCAATAATCAAAAAGTTTCTTCACAAAAAATCTAATTTTCAAAATTATGAATATGAAATATAAGGTAAGTATTGTTGTTATTATTTAGTAAAAGATCAGATGCTGACCTATATTTTCTTACGCTTACTTTATTTCCATATTTTAATCAATTATTTTTATAATTTTATAGAAATTTAATTTACTAGTTTCTGT